GTAGAAACAAGTCGCCAGGCTCTTAACAAAATACAAAATTGTGGGTCTCCGGAAACCGCAATAGAGCTTCGCTGCAGGGGCGACAAATCACAAACTCCGGTTCATCGCTTCATCTCAGATCACCGTCGAAGTGGTCGTATGTCGACTGTAGCAGCTTCTTGATGTCTCGATACCACCAACCATGGAAACTTACGCCAGTCATTGTTACTTTACTTCGTTGCCCTTCCCAACACTTCAGGGCTTCGTCGTTGTGGTTTGAGGATCTGCTCATGGTGGCCATTGATCGATCTGCTATAAATTGCGTGACATTGTTAATGATGAACCATGTTGTTAATTGATTGATAGTTTTTCTAAAAAATAAAATGTTGTTAATTGATTGATCAATTCTTCGCTATCCGTGTTAACAGGAACAGGGGGTTGGGGGTGAGGATTTTGGGTTTATGCGGCGGATGCGAGTTGGTGGTGAGAGAAGGGATTGTTTGGTTAGAATTTAGAATTGAAATTGCTTAAATATGTCAATTTATTTATTGAGTTTTAGGGTGATAAAATTTGAATTTTTGGGCGATAAATAGCAATTCAGTTTATTTATTATTAGAAAAGTGTATCTGTTTCTAAAAAAGAGAGGAAAAAACAACTATTTTTTTTTATTCCGCATAATTTTTCGAGATCTTTCAAATCACAAATAGCTAGAGCCAATTTGGTCAAGCCTTCATCCCGAAAAAATGTCGTTTGCTATCCCAAACTACCAATTTTTAGATTTCGCCAAAATTTGGAGTGCCATAACTTTGTGCTCCGCAACCCGAACGTTATAATTTTTTTTTTATTTCGCATAACTTTTTAATTACTACAACTTTTATCATGGACATATTTTTTGAATGTATGTGAATTTGTGAAAAGTAAAACTAAAGTTATTTTAAGGGTAAATACAATTTAATATCCAAACCTTTCATTTTAAACAATTTAATAGCCAAACCTTTTCGAAAACAATTTAATATTCAAATCGTCAACTTTCTGTCTGTTTGACCGTTAGTTGACACTTCAAAAAAATTCGAAGTACGACACTTCATCAATATCCATCGATATCTTCTCTGAAAAACCACCAACATATCGTAGTTCCAAACCCGAGAAGTCCATGGCTCCACCATGATGGTATAGAATATCTAAATATTCAGTCATCTGCAATGCCAAAACAAGAAAACAAAGTTGTATTGTGACAATTTCCCCTAAGCAAAGCTTTTTTGAAGTGTCAACTAACGGTCAAACGAACGGAAAGTTGACGATTTGGATATTAGATTGTTTTCGAAAAGGTTTGGTTATTATATTGTTTAAAATAAAAGGTTTGGATATTAAATTGTATTTACCCTTATTTTAAAAACCCTTATATCCAAAAATATTCATATTTTGAAAATTCCTTCCTAGTAAAAGTTGTAGTTCTTGAAAAGTTATGCGAAATAAAAAACTTGTTTGTGACATTTGGGTTGCAGAGCACAAAGTTATGACTTACCAAAGTTTTGTGAAGTTATTATATTCTAAAGTTTGAAAATATTTTTTTATAACGCATATATTTTGAAAATTTATTTTGTAACGTGTGTATTTTGAGATTAAAAAAACAAAAAAAGTTGTATCGGCCCACCTCACTTTGTTCCGTGTCTTGCTGATGCAATTTGCATAGGAAATCGGCACAGTAAAAACCTGACAGATACTTCTCTGCATCGCATCTTTCTCCACCAACAATTAAATAAAGAGTAAAGACGCTTTCTTTCTTTCATAAATTATAAAATTCTCTTTATTTTTTTAATGAGCATCTCTAACTTTGCTTGGGTTTCTAACCACATCCGACTAGTCTAGTTATTTAAGAGGGTTACTATTTGCCGCCCATCTCATTACTATTTGCCGCACGTAAATTAAACTAAAATGACATTTTTACCCTTTGTTTATTTTTTATAAAACAAACTCCATTCCACCACTACTGTCGCCGGCGCCAATCCACCACCGCCGCCAAATCGCCGACGTCGCCACCACCTCCAGATTACTACCGCGGCCAAAACCAAATCACCACAGCCGGCGGGAGACCCCGTCCGACGCCGGCGGGAGGACCCCGTCCGACGCCGGCGAGCGGACCGTGCATTAGCGACGGTTTCAAAACCGTCACAAAATTCGTCGCTAAATGATAATAATTATTTAACTCAATCTTCTATTTTTTTTAATATTATATCATGCTAATAATTATATGTATGTTTATTAATTATATTTATGAATTAGAAAAACTAAAAATTATTCATAAGAAAAAAAAAATAAATTATAAAAAATATTGTACAAACTAATTCATACTTATTTTATAATTATGTAAGTAGAGCTAAAATAAATAAATTCAGTATAATAGCAATTAAATAATTATAGTATGTTAAATAATTACAAATGATCTGAAGTAGTGTATAAGAAAATGGATATTTAATCATAAATTATCATAAATATTGTATAAACTTATGAATAATTCATTTTAATTATGTAGAATAGTTATAAAATATTTATAAATTTTGATTAAACCTTTTTTTAATTGTATTTATTTCATATTTAATAAGATCATCGTACCTAAAATATGTTTTATAAAACTTCCAAGGAATCGAGGCACGAAGAGGACTCTTTGCGGCTCGGGGAAGGTCGGGCAAAAACATCTTTTACAAATTACTAGAGTCACCGACATGAAAAAATATTGAAACTTTCATCGATCTCTTAAAATGTGGATACAAATGTGTTGGAATCGATTGTTTATCAATCGGACATTCCCGACAAAAAGAGATGAATAGTGCCAAAACTTTCATCGAGGTGTTTTTAGGGCTCTGGGGGTGGTAACTAGGAGTTTCTTGAGCCTATCACGTATATTTCCACGAGATGAAATATTATTGTTAGTGGAGGAAGAGATGATTTTGCCTCTAAAATAATTTCCTAGTAGGATTGGATGGATCGAGGTTGAAGGTAGCTATTCAAGGGGAATGAGGGTTTAGAGTTTCAGAGGAGTATAAGGTATAGGAGGTGGATGAGATGCTTTCTTTCTTTATTGTCATTATTGGTCCAGTTGAGTCGAGTTGATTCTTATTGTTGTTATCCGTCATCTTGGGTGAGATTATTTCAACTGTGGTCAAACCCTAATTAAGTCAAACCCTAATTCGAATCAAACCCTAATTAAGTCAAAGCCTAATTCCCTCAAACAACTATGGTCAAAATAATATATAATTTAGTCAAACCCTAATTCGGGTCAAACCCTAATTAAGTCAAACCCTAATTATATCAGACCTTAATTCGGGCCAAACCCTAATTAAATCAAACCTTAATTCAGGTCAAACCCTAATTCGGGTCAAACCCTAATTAAGTCAAACCCTAATTTCCTCAACCAACTGTGGTCAAATAATATATAATTTAGTCAAACCCTAATTCGGGTCAAACCCTAATTAAGTCAAACCCTAATTCCCTTAACCAATTGTGGTCAAATTAACAATTATATACTAATTATTCAACTATCAATATTAAACTAATTAAGATACTAACAATTGTATTTAAAATAAATCTAATAAATATTTATTTAAACCGAATCATAAACCCAATCAGATCGGTCCGCTCCGGCCAGTCGGACCGCGTCCGCTCCGGCCAGTCTGACCGCGTCCGCTCCGGCTAGTCGGACGGCGTCCGCTCCGGCCAGTCGGACGGCGACTGAAAAAAAAAAATAAAAAAAATTCCCTCTGCCGAGCTTGGGAGGTTGGTGGCGGCGAGAGTGAGCGAGGAAGTCGGCGGCGGCGGAGGGAGGAGTCGGCGGCAGGAGGTTGGCAGGAGGGAGGAGTTGGCGGCGGCGGGAGGTCCGGCAGGAGGAGGGTCGTCGGCGGCGGGCGGTCGACAGGAGGAGGGAGGGTTGAAGGGGGCGGCAACAGATGGGTTGAGGGTGGGATAGGGTTAAGGGCAAAATCGTCTTTTTTCTTCTAACTACGGGCGGCAAATAGTAAAACTGCGGGCGGCAAATAGCGATTCATTTATTTAAGGGTGCTAAAAAAATAACAATAGTTTGATCCACCTGTCCAACTCCACTCATTCGCTCACAAGGTATCAACAATCAACAATGTATCAAATATCAATGAAATGTCAAATGTAACTAGGGGTGGGAAATGGTGCGGTTGCAGTTAACCGCACCCGCAAAACACTCATATTAGCCAACCGCGACCGTGTCCCTCACGGTTAGCGGTTAACCAAAAACCGCAGAACGCGGTTAACGGTGAACCGCGGTTTCTGGTTGTAAAAACCGCAACAACCGAAACAGTATACGAAACCGCGGTTAAGCAAACTAACCGCGAACTAACCGCAAAAATACACGGGGAAAAAAAAAACACAGCAACTACTGTTTTGTCTATTTTCACTTCCATCAAGTCCCTGCATCTGACGACGGCGCGGGAAGATGGGAAGGGTCGAAGGGAAATGGATTTTCGACTTTCGTTTCGTCAAATCAAAACGACGGCAAAAGGGAGAAGTGGGGGAGGGGCCATGTCGGGTTTGGGCTGCTGGGTTGGGGGTCTACTTTGGGCTTGGCTGGGGGGTTAACTTTGGGCTGGGCTGGGGGTCAACTATGGGCTGGGACTATCTCGCGGTTAGCCTTGCAGTTATATGGATTTGCGGTTTCGGTTAAACCGCAAACCGCAAAACATTCCATATCTCCAACCGCGACCGCAAAATAGGTAAAATATGCGGTTTGCGGTTAACCAATAACCGCGCGGTTTCGATGCGGTTATCGGTTTAACCGCGAAACCGCAACCGTTTTCCCAGCCCTAAATGTAACTTGTACACATCATATTTTCATGGTATAGCTCATTTGACATTTTATCATATAGCAGAATTCATTGCATGTATTCTCATATTCTCCCACTTTCCTAAATTTTCACTACAAAGTGATGTGTTTCCTGAAAAATTTCACAACTCAATTTAAACTGCAAGGATGATTGTTCTTCCCATTTCAATTTCCCAAGCACCTAAGACTTTTCACTTTGACAGATGCATATGAAATAAATGTTCCACAAAGAACAGCAATCATATACCGCATCAAAACCAAGCTGATAATGTTATGAACATAGCCTCTGCTTTCTTGCTAATAAACTCTTACATATGAGCCTCTTTCTTCCTGTCATCACCACTACAGTTCTTCCTACAAGGCAAATATACATGGTTGATGCAAAATGCTTATAATTTGACCACCAAATACCAATGGGACTCAACTCTCTAGTCTCTCACAGCTCACAAACAAATTATCAGCAGTAAAACATGACCTTGCTCACGTTATCACTCAACTTGGGCAAAGGAGCTGTCTTTACTGGAGGAGAAGCTCTTGAAACAGCTGAGAAGGGATCTCTGCCATTACAACCACTCCCAGATGACGACTCAGATCGATCGATGTACAATCTACCTCTGTAAGCAGCCAAATGAGCATAGTAAACTGGAGGAACCAAAGACACAGGCTTAGTGCACCTTACAAAAGTAAAGCACAAGTTATACACCAACTTCTGAAGCTCATCAGAAGTAAACTGGTTCTCATCCCACAGCACATGGTAATGTGTCGGCCTGCTCGTCCCCTTCACACCCCAATGGCTACACAGATAGAAATCGAACTCCTTTGGGTGAGTAACCACAGTGTCCACCACTGTCCCAGGTGGTATGTTCTCATCGAAAAACTGGTTCTTCAGATCATCTTCGGTCTCGGATGGGAAGAAGAACCTTGTATGGTGCCTCTTTTGCACCACAGCAAATGTGATCAATGGTGTGTAGCACGGGAACTTGTAGCATGCATCTTTGATCGCCTGCAACTCCTCGCGAAGCACCTTGTGGAACTGTGTCTCACTCACTCCATCTCTGAAGAATATGATCCTCTTCGGAAGTTTGTTAACTTCTTGGTAGAATTCATCTAGCAATTCCTTCACCATTGTGCCAAGATCATGGATGATCTCCTGCCTATGTGTCTGAGACCTCATTCGAGACATATACTTGTTTGCTGCAGGCCAGTTCATGCTGCCAACAACTGCTGCAACAGATGGACTTGAATCGTCGAACGGGTGTGGATGAGTGACATCAGCTCCCATGAAGATCACTGGCTCATCGATATGGAGAAGGCGTGGTATCTGAGAAGGTAATGAATTGTACAGAGCTACGGTGCAGCCACCAACTTTAGCATTGATCTTCAGGGCTATATTTGCTAGGAACTGTGAACTTAACTTGGTGAGATTGGTGTAAAGGCAGCATTGAGTGACTACACCAACACTTGTTTCTGCTATCCTCTTTAGATCAGCATACCCCTTGTGTTTCTTCTCCATCAAGCAAATGAGGAGCTGGAGATTGCCTCCTGCAGCAGATCTCTGGATGTTCTTGAGTTTGGATTCCAAGAGTGAAACACTGTTGAGGACTTGAGCCGACTCGAATTGAGGTGTCGTGGTTGGGGTTTTGTTGAGGTAGATGCCTAGCTTTTCACACCTATGAGATAACTGGGTTATGAATTTCGGGATGTTGGACTTCTGCTCAGGAGTACCTCCAAAGCTCATTAATGCCCACCTTTCTATCCTGGTTCCTTCATAGACATGACCATCCAGAAGGTTCCATTGCCGATCATGGCGAGATGGGACCAAGTCCTTGATATGCCCACCGTTGCCAAGTTTCAGCTTTGGAGGCTGCAAGATTCTACCTTTTAATCTAGTCATTTCTCTTGAAACTTGGAGTTTGAATTCCTTACCTTGGTTCCCACTGTCCACAAACAAGGAAAACAATGTAAATGAAAATTTCTAGATAAAAATTTCAAGCTGAATCAATGTTTCTAATAATATCTCTCACCTTGTTGGACCAACTGATCCTTGCATAACTTCATCTATTATCGATTTTCGTTCCCTCGGTCTTTGGCAACCCATCTTAAGTATCTTTGCAGTTTGATCATCAGAGAGCTTTCCCATAAATTTCTGTCCTTCACAGATCATGCAAAGTTCCATAGGCAGATAGCAAGGTCTGCTCCTACTAATCTGCAAACAAGGCAAGTTCCTGAATTGTATGTCAATCCCATATTGGTCATTGAAGTAATCCACCACTCTAAGAATCTTCCCATCTCTGTCAGCAAAGCAAAGATCACCAGTACTCTCATCAGTCAACCCATAAACCCGGTATTTTTGTACAGTCTCCCTATGACAAACAAAGACCCTTAGGTTCTTCAATGCTCTCCCAACTTCTTTCCTCTCCTCACCACTCAAAGTCCTAGACTTTCTCTGAGGAAGATCACGAAGAAAATCCATTCGCTTCTGCAAGTAAGGGATGACTCCAATGCTCTCATGAAATGCAGTGACCGAAAAGTCGACATTGAGTCCTAAACCTTGCTGTGTTGGTCTAAGGCTCTGAAAGAAACCTCTCAGGCCAACAGCTCCACCTCCAATGTCTCTTCCCCCTCCCATGGAACTCGAGTACAACGATCTCCCCACTGGTATGCACTTCTCGGCGGGGCTCTCTCTCAGCACAACGTCTAAAGCATGCAAGTAGTCCTGTGGTAAAGGAACGCAATCATCACCTTCTTTACTCAAGTAACAGCTCAAGTCCTTCCCTTGTAACTTGGACACAAGCTTAATGTTCACTCTAAACAGTTTCAGATGCTTCTCTCCCAAGGCATCAATGTTGTTGATCTCCCCAAGTGGTTGCAAATGCAATGACTTGCTGCCACTTGGGATTGGCAAGCTAATGTAGATTTCTAGCCTGTCGTTTTGGAACTCAACAGGGCTATACAGATTCTTCCTTCCATCATAAGATGGGTGAGCATTAGAGAGAAGAGCTGAATTTTCTTTCACCAGTTTATGCTTGATCATTCTGGCGAGTTCCTTGGAGGTAGGGTTTGGAGAAATATCCACATTGTAGTGGTAGATTCTTTGTGAAGAATCAAACTTTACAAGGAAATGATTGGCTAAGAGTGTGATTACTGAGCCTTCCACTCCACCAGAATCAGGTCTCCTTGCAACAACCACCAAAGCTTGTTTATTATCGGAACAACCCATCACTTTCCTCTCATCGCTTCCTTTGAAAGGCAGAGTCTTCCTTCTGTCTTCAACCTCTCTCACAACTGTTCCTGAGTAAAAACAACAAAGACCAAAACTTTCTCATTCCCCTGGACATAGACAAAAAACCCCATGAACAATATGAACTTATTTATATATTACCTGATGGAATTCCATTGCCAACAACAGCAGAAGGGTTTTGGAAAGCAGAGGAGGCAGAGTTGTCGTTGTTGAGATGCTTAAAGGCAAGATCCTGGAAATGGGTTTTGGAGAGAAAGGTGTTGTAGGAATGAGGGAAAGGCGGAGAGAGAGCAGGGTGGAGAGGTATGGAGGGAGGAGGAGGGAAAGGAAGAAGAGGGTAATAATGAAAGCTGTGTTGCTGTTGCTGTTGCTGTTGGGTCTGATTGAAGAACCCACCACCATGGACACCACTGTTGAATAACTGATGATTGGTCGAGTACTGAAGCAACTGGCGGTTCTGGTAATTATTGTCATGATGATTGTAATGGTGATAATGGTACTGAAACTGCTGATTCTTTTGGTCTGTGGTGTTGGCATTGGTGGTGGTGGTGTTGCTTCCTTTGGCCCTGCCTCTGAAAGTTTTGGTCTTTGTGGTGTTATTGGTAGTGCATCTCTTGCTGCTGGCTCTTGGTTGTTCTTCTGTGTCCTCCATTCCACCCACCTTTCCTTTTTGTTTTGGGCGTTGTGAGAGAGGAGGGGGGAGAAGATGGGAAGAAGAGAGGAAATGGATTTTTTTCTCAGACCATGAATATCAAATGGATTCCTTTCTTCTGATTCTCCTTTGTATAATCAAAATGGGGTTCTAGTGGTTTGGTGGATTCCAAGAAAGAAACTGAAGTTATTACAGACAAAGAGAAGGAGGGAAAGGAAGGAAGAGAAGCAGAGGAAGATAGAGAGAGGAGGAGGCAGAGGGGAACAGTTTTCTTTCTGGTTAACTTATAAAAGTTCTTTTCTCCATTGTGTCTGGTTCTGTGGTATGAAGAGAGAGTTGGGGACTGCTTTTATTAATTGTTTATTTAATTTATTTTGGTTTTATTTTGTCTGCTTTCATTTTTCTTTGTGTTTTGGCCTTTTCATCAATGTTGGAAGTTGGAAATTGGAAATAGGGAATAACAAGGATTTTGCCAAAGCGGCAGAGCCCCACCAAAACATGTTTCTTTTTTCATTTGCTGATAATTTGTTTTTTTTATGTTGGGGGTTTTTGGGAACAGCTATGCAAAATGGGGATTGGTTTGGAGTTTTTGCAAATCTGTGCACTGAAGAATTATGTATTGGATGCTGGTGGATGATAGTATCCCTTTTCTTTCTTTCTTCCTTTCTTTTTTCCAGTTCCCCCATTGACTCTCTCTTCTGTGCTCTGTCCAAAACAGTGTCTCATTCAGGGCTATGCTTAGCCTTTTCCATTTTGCAGCCTCCTCCCAGTAAAAGCCACCACACATTCTCTCTCTTCTTTTATCACAGCTGATCTTCAGGGCCAAAAATCAAATGGGTATTGGGTGAGATGAAAATAGGCAGGAGATATGAGGTATCAGGTATCCCATTAAGAAAATAGTAGAAAGAACTCATAGATTTTGTAACCCTAATGATAATAATTAATGATGACATTCACCATAATTACTGTACATCATATATATTTAATTGATGAAGGACCTCTTGTTTGAGATTCTTATTCTTGTTTTTTTTTTACCATTTTAAATACTATTACGATGATGACCAAGCATTTTGACTTTTACAAGTGACTTACATTGTGAATCGAAGAAATCGGCCGACCGTTTTCATCAATTGTCGACTATATGACCCTCTCACCTACTTGCAAACTAAACTCCATAACTACAAAGGAAAATAACGTTCAACAACTCAAATAAAACTGTCGACCGGTTGGTCATTATCTTATCAGTGTTGGAACAAGATTCACCATTAGCATTAAGATGGAAAATAACGGTCTCTCAGGACAATATAACGAAACGATCAATCATTTGACCATTACCTTATTAGTGTTGGAATAGGATTTCATCGATAGAAAGGTTTGAGTAATAAACAAGAATTCTGCTACCGTCTAACCGAGGATATTATTAATATAAACCTTTATTAATAATCATCTACGCTATTATTTTTGTAACTCTGAAAATTGTGTAAACAAATTCTTGTGAGTTTGGAGCTTGATGAAGAAAAAAGGCATCGGAACATTAAATGAAGTTGTTCGTGCAATACCTATAGATCAACATATCGACCACAACAACTGCCTGGACAATCTTTCAGGTGCAATCACCAGGTTCATCACCCTCTTCAATGGAATGATCGACCGTTTGGTTCTCCGATCAACCTCAATATGTAGTAGTACAAAGCAAGTGGTCATATTGAGATAAATATTTTCCCCTGAACTCTATCGGCCTGTGGAAGCAATCGGTCGACCGTTATTTTCCTTTATAATTGTGAAATTAAGTTGTAATTGTGTCAAGGTAACTTGGAAATCATCATAAGCATACACAACCATTTATGTAGTTGATACCATATAAAGTTTTTATGTTTAGGGATTTTGTAATCACATTGTCTTAAGAGATGTTTTTGTTGTCTCGTTAATTATTTGATTATTTATCCAACTTATTGATATAGAACATCTTAGTGCAGTATGGTGCGAGCATGCATAGTCAGAGGCAACTCTGTTGTGCATTCACATGTGAGTAAATTTTGTGAGGAACAAAAATATTTCATATATGTTTTATATTAAGGATGAAACATGACACCCGGCATAAAGTATTTTGTCACTATATAATAATTTATTATTTGATCATAAATTGACATTAAATTAATTTATTATACTATAAATGAAATCTCAATTGGAATATATCTCTCTTTTCTTCATATGGTATTCGATTATTTTCCTAGCAATCTTGAAGCAATCCAGTGGCAGCGCCTATTCCAGTAGTTTTGAAAGCAAGTGTAGATAAAATATTTTTTCAGCTTTGAGCTATATCAAGAGACAAGAATGAACTTCGAAGTCGAATTCATAACGAGTTTTCTAATGATTGTTGAATGAGATCCATTGAAAAAGACTTACTTAAGACTGTAGACAATGAATGTATTTTGTGTTTCTTTCAAAATATGAAAACTCGACATGGTTGTTTATGAAAATACTGATTGTATTAGTTGTTATTTTTTATATGTGAAAATAAATTATTTATATATTATTAATTTAATTATATTCATTAAATATTTATATATTTATAATAGGAAAAGAGGACAGGGGTAGTTTCAAATTCTGCCTCCGCACTACGAGCATGCAGGAGGTATAATACAATAAAAGATGGAAGCTCAAAGATGCACATACGTGGAAATCAATCAGGTGAAACCAACAAGACGTATGAAAAAATTTATGAGTAGGGGAACTGTCGGGGACAGGTTACGGTGATTACTACTTTGTAGTAATCACCGTGGTTACTAAGGGTAAATTGGGTATGGAAAAATAAATTATATTAATTAATTTTTTAATAAATTACATTTAAGGTAGTTATAAAAATCCATTAATTAAAATTCTCTCTTTCTCTCACTTCCGTAATCTCCAGCGAGATTTCCTTTCCATATTTTTCTCAATCTTTCTGCAAAAAAAAAAAAAAAAAAACGAAATCAGTACCAATCCATTAGACAAACACTACCACTTTGAAAAATATCAATACCATTGCAGAAATAAATCTATACCATTACACGAAAACTACCATTGCATAAATAAATTTATACCATTACACGAAAACTACCATTCAAGAAATAAAAACACTACCATTTCACAAAACATCAATACCATTCAAGAAAGAAAAACACTACCATTTCACAAAACATCAATACCATTGCAGATTTAATCACTACCAATGCGACAAAATCAATACCATTGCGACAATAATAATACCATTGCAACAAAATCAATACCAATATGATAAAAATAATACCATTACGACAAAAATAATACCAATGCGACAAAATCAATACCAAAACAAAGCAATACAAAAAAAATATACCAATCCCCAAAAATACATACCAATCCCCAACTTGCACAAGCACGGAAGGTTGGCAGGAGAAAATATAGAGAGAGAGAGGGGATCAGAAGGTTTGGAGAGAGAGGGAGGGGGAAGGCTGGCCTAGGCTGGCATCACCATCTAACACCTCCACCGCCATCTGAGAGAGAGAGAGAGAGAGAGAGAGAGAGAGAGAGAGAGAGAGAGAGAGAGAGAGAGACACACGGCAAAGGTGGGCGAGGGTCGCCGGAGGGTGGGCGGCTGCCGGCAATGGGAGGGCCGCAGGATAGGTGTTGACGGCGATATAAAATAGGGTTGGAGTAGGTTTAGGTATAATATATAGAATTAATTTTTTAAAGGATAGAAATCAGGTGTGATATTTTTTTTATTCTCAAAATTACCCTTAATCTAATCTTCACCGTCAATTTAAAATTAGAGTAAAATATAGATAATTAAGGGTCTAGATTTTAGTAGCCACGGTGATTACTCAATTTTTGAGTAATCATCCTAACGCGTTCCGGAACTGTCGACTTATATTTCCTATGTTTGACCCGGCTTTTAGAAGTACTTTTCGGCTTCAAAAGCTGAAGCAGGGCCAAACACCTCTAAAAGCTTAGCTTTTGAAAAGCCGAAAAACGCTTTTGTATAACATAAAAGCAGAAGCTCCAATTTGGAGCTTATGCGAAAAGTTGTTTTGAAAATACAAGATTATCCTTACCATATTATAATTTTATTTCAGAAAATATAATTTCCTTCATTTCTATCATTTTAAAAATAAAATAAATTATAAAATCATATTATTTAATATAAAAAATAAAAAAATCCATTTTGCCTACTTTTTACTGTTTAGAATTTTTATTCATATTTTATATTAAAAGTCCTTTATAGTCATTTTACACAACCTCTTATATTAACAAGTACTTCTAATAGTTTTACAGCCAAACACTCAACTGCTTTTTTTGAAAAACACTTATTTAAACTAGTTTTGTGCCCGCCAGATGGGCGGTGAGTGTTATCTGTTTGTATTTTTCCTTCTATTATTTGTTATTTTTTTCAATGATATCAGATTCCTAATTTTCATAATTATTTATTATTGTTACCTATTATCACTGACTTATCTGATATGATGGCCGCTACATTTACTCTATGTTTTAATGATGATCAACAATAAAGTCAAACAATGCTATAACTTCATCACCGCTTGGACCAACAATTGTCAACTTCATAAGTTGTACATGGTTTAAACTCGTGTACGCCACCTTACCGAACTCCTATAGAGTTGGTATTTAGACCATGTATTAACGAAGTTTGGCACATGATGCTATACCATATTCTCTAATAGGCGAACCATGGTCTCTAATTCTCTAATCCAAATCGTACGATTCATTTAATGAAATTTGAAATGAAATGTTTATTTATTCTATTGGTTAAAAATTTGAAATGATTACAGTTTGAGCTTGTAGGTTGCATGATTAAATCTTAGTTATGGTAATTGATATACATGTTTTGTTGTGGTTAGTAGTATCAAATATACTTTATCCTAGTGGTTGAACATTTGAAATGATGATAGTTTGACATTGTAGGTCACAGGTTCAAATCTTGGTCATGAATCATGATGATTGATTTACATGTTTATTTAGTTTTATTTTAATGTAATTAATAACTTAAAATTTAAAAAATGACAAAATGACATGGAAAATTGTGGAGATTTCGTTGTCTTACGTGGCAAAAATTTGCTCCACAACGGCCATAATATAAGTTAAGAAGCTCCAGCTAAAAGCTTCTTCTACAAAAGCTACAACAGCGCCAAACTAAACTATTATACAATGCATGTAAATTAATGGGAATCGTAGACATACCATTTAAGTTTTAATAGGGCGTCGAATACCATTAGAGTAGCCAAAAAGTGAATTCGTCCAGTTTTCCATCCAACCAAAACTTTTATTTACCTTTGGATACCCAAAACTTTTTAAAACATTCAAAAAT